CACAGACCTTTCATAGTTCCTGAGACACCCCGAGCCAAGCTCCTGGGAAACCCCTCCCACTGCAGCATACGTCACTGCATGGGATTTCTTCCCGGGGGAGTCCAATGCGGGAAAAAAAGTCTGAGACTCGTCACTCGATGTTGTTTATCCACAAACTGGTCCAGGATTAAGCTCCAAAGTTTTTATCAGTCAGATTCCACTGTGAAAATATCTGTTTTTTTTCCCCTTTTATGAGTTTTTGGCCATTTGACTATCTTTATAAACCGCTGTTTCCTGGTACAACAGTCAGCTGTGGAAGCAATCACTTTTTTTCTTTTTTCTTTCTGTTTTTGAAGCAAGTGGTTGAAGCAAATGCAGCATCTGAGCGCTTTCAGCACAAACAAACACTCCCACGAACTTCTGACCAATCACACCATATAGTTCGTATGTGTTCTTATGTGGAGGGGGGGTGGTGAAAAGTTTGACCTGCGGGTTGCGACAAGAAGTGCCGAAATGTGGGCAATGCAAACAGAAGTGACTCAATTTTCATCGTGAAACTGCAACAGTTCGGCACGATTTCGGCAGTAGCATGCTGGAGCCTTTACCTTGGTCATTTCAAAGCTGATGCATGCTATTAGCAAGAAAGGTCTTTGTGCCAATAATGTTTGCACTCCTTTCCTTGTTTGCAGCACGAGCTTACTGGCCGGTCATGAGTCAGACAAAAAAAGTCACAGAATGTAAAAACAAAAGGAGTCCAAATGTTTGCTTGAATTAAGAAAATTGCAGTTGGTTGGTCTGTAAGAATGTCTGATAGGATTACTACAGCCAGCTAGGCGCGTTTAAACAAGTCCAGCTGTGCAAGCTGTGGACAGCTTTATTTTTTTATTTTTTTCCAGCTTAGGGGCAGGAGAGATGGAGGTGTCCCTGCCCCCACCCCCTTTTTGTTTATTTTCTGAATGAGCTGAGGTGATCAGAGCATGCGTCAGTAGTAACATGGGGTGTCTTCTTAAATGTTTATCCCAGTTTCATATGCGCTTCACCTCATATGTCATCATTTTTTATATCATCCTCATATTTTGATACCAAATACCTGATAACAAAATACCTTCATACCGCAGAAGCCTAACTCCCAGTCTACCAGATACTGAAGGCCTCTCCCTCAGCATCCAGAATGCGGTTAACAGTGAAGGCAGGGTGGTCATCAATGGGTGGGAGGAGAGGGCATGATAGGTGGGCCTAACCCTCCCACTGTCTTTGTGGGGTCCATATGACCCCACTCATGTTTGGTGTGGTGGTGGAGTCCTCCTGACCCCCACCTGATTAAGCCGTGGTTTGGGAGGGCAAAGGAGGTTTGGGGTGGGGTCGTTAGGTGATGTTTATGGGTGGCCTGGCTTGCTCCTCAAGAAGCAGCCATGACTTTTACTTGCTAGCTTTGTTAGTGCTCAGCATGGACAGGACTCTGAGACAGGCTTGATCTGTAAAACATGAAAGGTTGGATAGATTTTCATGGAGGTGGCTAAGGCCAGTCTTACCGCAGATGGGTTGATGATGCGTTCAATGAAGAAGGGACCAATGAACCAAAGAGCCAGTTTGTAGGTGTGTTTTTCAAGTTTATGTCCCGGGTGGAGAGCCAGAATTTCTGTCCCACTTTGTAATCTGGAGCAGAGGAACGTGGTCGGTTGGCAAACCTCTTGTTTTGTTTGACTGTCCTTAACAGAGTCTCCTTGGTTTGGAGCAAGAAATGTCTACATTTCCTGATGTTGTGCTGGACAGAGGGGACTAGAATTTCTATTTCAATGTTAGGAGAAAGTGGTGGAGAGTAACCAAGGGATGATTCAGTAGGAGAAAAATGATTAGCAGAGGATGTGTGTGTGTTACATGTGAGTATGGGTTATTGTTTATAATGCACCAGAGAGTGGCCTCCAATTCCTGGTTACAACATTCAGATTGACCACTGGACTGAGGGTGACAACCGGATGTCAGGCTAGAAGTCGCTCCCAGGGCACTGCAGAATGCTTTCCAAATCTGAGAAATAAACTGGATCACAGTCAGAAACTATATGGAGTGGGATGCCATGAATTCCAAAAACATGTTGGACCAGGAGATTAGTAGTTTTAAAAGCAGAAGGTAAGTTACCTTCCAACCACTGATGCCATTCTTCAAGAGCTATCTTGATAACAGTAAGTTCACGGTCACCAACATCATGTGTTTGCTCGGCCGAGGACAGGTGATAGGTGAAAAAAGTGCATGGGTGGACCTTCTTGTCATGGTCAGTTCTCTGGGAAAGCACAGCTCCCTCCCTCGTGTCAAACACATCCACTTCCAGGATGAACTGTTTCTTGGGTGCAAAAGGATGGGACCAGATGAAAACAATGACTTCAACTCACCAAAAGCTGTCTGTGCCTCAGGAGTCCATTGGAACGATTTCAAAATAGAGGCAAGTTGAGTGAGCAGGGCTGGCACCTGGCTGTAGTTTGGGATAAATCTGCGATAGATATTGACAAAACCCAAAAAAACGTTGCAATTGTCGATGATCTGAAGGAACTGTCCACTTAGCTCTGATCTTTTTCGGGTCTGTGCAGAAGTGGCCCTGCTCAAAATAAAGCCCCAAAAGGAGACTGAAGTGACATAAAATTCACATTTTTCTGCCTTGATAAAAAGCTTGTTTTCATGGAGCTGTTGTAACACTGCACAAACATGCTTGAGGTGTTAATCATTATCACAGGAGTAGATTGAGATGTCGACTAGATAAACAAAAATGTTCAAAAAGTCCCATAAAATATCTTTAAGGGACTGGAAGACTGTCAGCGCATTGGTGGAGCCAAAAGGCATAATAAGATATTCGAATTGCACTAATGAGGTCTTAAAGGCAGTCTTCCATTCGTCACCCTCCCTGATACTTATCAAATAAGCATTGCAGAGATCCAATTTGAGAAAATGGTGGCTGAATAGAACTGTCCGTGAACAAAGTCAGTGAGAGGAAGTGGATACTTATTGTTATCTGTGATTTAATTTAATCCTCTATAATCTATGCACAGCCTCAGTCCTTTTTTTCAACAAAGAAGAAACCACCTCCTACAGGAGACGTTGAGGCTGGGCACAGCCCTAAGAGGAGACGTGGGTTCCCCTTCACAAGGGCTCACCACCTGTGGGAGGGGCCTTAGGGGTCAGGTGTTGGGCAGTAATTGAGGGTGAGAACCTTGGCGGTCTGATCCTCGGCTACAGAAACTGGCTCTAGGGCAGTGGTGTCCAAAGTCGGACCTCAAGGGCTGGTGTCCTTCTGTGGCCTCATGTCTTGGTCACTCAGGTGAAGAGAAGGGCAGAGCTGTCAACTGACCACTACCTGGTGGTGAGTTGGTGGTTGGGGAGGATGCTGGTCACATCTGGCAGACCAAAATGTGTAGTGGGGGTCTGCTAGGAATGTCTGGCAGAGTCTCCCATCAGACGGAGCTTTAACTCACACCTCTGGGAGAAATTTGAACACATTCCAGGGGAGGTTGGGGACATTAAGTCTGAGTGGGCCATGTTCCATGCCTCTATTGTCAAGGCGGCTTACCTGAGTTGTGGCCGTAAGGTTGTCAGTGCCTGTCGTGGCGGCAACCCTCAAACCCTCTGGTGGACACCGGCGGTGAGGGATGCTGCCGAGATAAGGAAGGAAGCCTAACAGGGCTTTATGGCTTGTGGGACTCCGGAAGCAGCTGATAGCTATCGGCAGTCCAAGCAGACTGCATCTTGGGTGGTTGCTGAGGCAAAAACTTGGGTGTGGGAGGAGTTTGGAGAGGCCATGGAAAAAGATTTCGGTTATCAGCATCAAGGCGATTCTGGTCCACCATCCGGTGTCTCGGGGGGGAAAGCAGTTCGCCACCAACACTGTTTATGGTGGTGCGTTGCTGACCTCAACTCAGCAAACTACTTTGAAGACCTCCTCATTCCCACCGACACATCTTTCCCTGAGGAAGCAGAGTTTTGGGACCCTGGGTTGGACTCTCCAATCTCTGGTGCTGAGGTCACCAAGGTGGTTAAAAAAAACTCCTCGGTGGCAAGGCACCGGGGATGGATGAGATTCGCCCTGGAGTTCTATATGTTGTGGGGTTGCATTGCTTGATGCAACTCTACAAAATTGTGTGGATATTAGGGACAGTTCCCCTGAATTGGCAGACCAGGGTGGTGGTCCCTGGGATCCCTTTCTCGGCATGGACAAGATGTTGAGGTGATCCATTTTGGTGGCCTCAAGATCTCATCTCTGCTTTTTGTGGATGATGTGGTCCTTTTGGCTTAATCAGATCATGATCTCCAGCTCTCACTGGAGCTCTTCGCAGCCGTGTGTGAAGTGGCCGGGATGAAATCCGAGACCATGGTCTTGAGCCGGAAAAGGGGAGGGTGCTTTCCTCAGGTCGGGGAAGCGGTCCTGCCCCAAGTGGAGGAGTTTAAGTATCTCGGGGTCTTGTTCACGAATGAGGGAAGAATGGAGTGGGGGATTGATTAGCGGATTGGTGCTGCATCTGGCTTGGGCATCTGGTTTAGATGCCTCCTGGACGCCTCCCTGGTGACATCTCCCTGGTGAGGTGATCCACTCCCACTGGGAGGAAACCCAAAGGAAGACCCAGGACACACTGGAGAAACTGTTTCTCAGCTGGCCTAGGAACGCCTTGGGATTCTCCCAGACGAGCTGGCTCAAGTGGCTGGGGAGAGAAGTCTGGGTCTGTCTCCTTAGGCTGCTGCCCGCGTGACCCAACCCTGGATAAGCGGAAGAAAATGGATGGACGGACAGTTGCAAAATGTCCTTCCAGCTATTTATTATTTGCACCACTTACTTGGCCCAACCTTTTTGTGTACTGTAGTTAAGGCTATAAAATCACTTTATTTATTAAAAATGATACAATTTCTTAGTTTAAACCTTTGATATCTTTACCATGTTTCATTCTGGAAAAAATGGTTTATGAGATCAAAAAGTTTATGCATTCTGTTTCCCAATTTTGGTGTTATTAAAATTGTATGTATTGTGTGTCTGATTCTTCCAGCCCAGCCTCACCCTGCTGCAGATCCTCAGTTACATCCCTCAAAAGACACAGACAGATTTAAGAAGCCTCAGCATGACCTTCAGAAACCCACATGCCCACAATGTGGCCTCACAGAACCTGAACACAGACTGCCCCTTGATTCACTGAGTTCAGTTCAGCTAAAAAGCTCAAAGTCATCGATGAGCAGCAGTCAAAGCAGCGACCAGAACAGGAGCAACAGAAATGGACCAGGATCAAACCAAACTGCTGGAGCACCCAGAGGTGGGCAGTAACAAAGTAAATTTACTCGAGTACCCCACTTACATACAGTTTTTGAGAATTTGCCTTTTACTGGAGTGGCATTAAAAAACATTTACTTAGAATCAAGTACATTTAAACAATAAAATCATGCATTTTTGGAAGGTTTCAGTAGATAAAGTAGTTACAGCCTTTCTTGTTGGTGCTCAGCTCTTGTTAGGATGTCATTATCCTGAGTCAATAGCAACCAATAATGCTTGAGTGCTGCTAACTCTTCCCCTACAAGACATCAAACTTTTGCAGTTGCATTCGGTGTCCGAGCTGCACTTCAAACTGCTGTACCACAGGTACCATCCATATTGACATCGGGGCAGTCCCCCTGGATTTGCAGACAGGGGTGGTATTCCCCTTATTTAAAAATGGGGACTGCAGAGTGTGTTCCAACTACAGGGGGATGACTCCTAAACCATCCTGGTAGGGTCTGTTCAGGGGTCCTAGAGAGGATAGGGTCTGTCGGATAGTTGAATTTTTGATTCAGCCAGAGTAGTGTGGTTTTTGTCCTGGTCATGGAACACTGGACCAGCTCTACCCCATAGCAGGGTTCTGGAGGGTGCTTGGGAGTTTGCTCAACCAGTCACGCCTTCTCCAAGTCCACAAAACACATGTAGTGTTTTGTAGACTTGGAGCAGGTGTTCAACCATGTCCCTCAGGGAGTCCTTTGGGGAGTACTCCGGGAATACGAAGTACCAGACCCATTGATATGGGCTGTTAGATCCCTGTACAACCGGTGTCAGTCTGGTCTGCATTGCCAGCAGTAAGTCAAGCTCGTTTCCAGTGAGAGTTGGACTCCGCCATGACTGCCCTTCTGTTCATAACTTTTATGGACAAAATTTCTAGGCACAGCCAAGGTGTTGAGGTGATCCGTTTTGGTGACAGGAGCTTGGGAGCAAAACAAATTATAAAATGGCAGCTGCAGTCACGTTGCTGTCAGAGTTACCAGTTCTTCTCTGGACCAATCACAAAAATTTAGCCTATCTCCAGTCAGCTAAACGACTGAACACTTGACAGTATCGTTGGTCCCTTTTCTTTTCCCATTTCAACCTTGTCATCAAATACAGGCCTGGCTCCAAAAACATTAAACCTGATGCATTGGCTGTGTCCAAAACGGCAGGACAGGTCCTCTGAAGGTCGAATTTGTCGGCCGCATACGTCACAGCGCGGCGACGAAGGACGTCCAAAACCGAAGACTCCTCCGATGTGGCCGACAAATACGTCCTTCCTGTGGCCCGAATCGAAGGACAGGTCCGATGGATCCTTCCCGGCCCAGCATATCCCATAATGCATTGCGGCCCGACCTGAGATTATTTTATGCTAGTGATGGCGGACCAAGCGAGAGAAAAGAATACATTTTAAATAAAAATATGGTGATATAAAAATTTTTAAAAATTAGCGGTTGTAATTCTAATACTTTTATCATTTGTATGGACATGTTTTTACATATTATTTTTTCGTAATAAAAAACGCGAAATAAACATGAACCTACAGCGGGTCAATTAGTTCTTCAAATGGTACTTTTAAGTTAATTTTATTGTTTTGTGATATTAATAATATCAATGTATTGATATTTTCCTAGTTTTGATTTAAGTTTGCTTGTTTAGCGTCGTCACAGTTGCTAGGTGACAAGACGTACGCCGGGGTAAGGAGGCTAGACCGTCCAAATTCACAGCCTCTTTTTTGCCGGTCTTCCTGGTCTACCGAGGACCCGGCCCGCCGAGACCGGGGAGTCTGGGTCCTCCGAAGGACCCAGCCTGTCGTTTTGGACACAGCCATAGTCCCGTCAGCACACCCTTGATGAGGATTCTGGTAACCCTGGTTGCTGTCCTGCCCCCACTGCAAACACACCAATCATGATCAGCAGTACATGATGTCAAACCGGGCCAGCCCGATCGGAACCTCGCCTGGCCAGGTTCCAGAACTCGGGCTGGAGCCAGCCCAAAAACAGCCCAGCCTGGACATGCAAAAACACCGACCCGGGTTGGAAGCCGGGCCGTGCAGTGCGTAAACGCCTTATGTTTCTCAGCTGGCCTGGGAAAATCTTGGGATTCCCCCAGACGAGGAACTGGCCCAAGTGGCTGGACAGATGGAAGTATGGGTCTCTGTTTAGGTTGCTACCCCTGCGACCCCACAATTCTCGACTACACTCAAGTGAAATTCATTGTTAGAAACTCTAAAATTTTAGGTACTTTCAGTACTTAAGTATTTTATTTTTATTATTATTATTATTATTATTATTATTATTATTATTATTATTATTATTATTATTATTATTATTATTTCACCTTTGCCTAGTACTTAAGTATTTCTGACATCACACACTGCAGTACTTTAACTTAAGTAACAATTTGAGAGAGCTTATTTTACCTTTTTTGGAACAATATTTGACCAGTAGGATCAGTACTTTGACTCAAGGAAATAGTATTTTGTTCACCACCGGCAGCACCCAAGCTCAGTTATCAACAGGTCAAAACATCTCATTGGTTTCTTTTGTTATTGAATCAGTCTCATTTTGAAGAAAATTTTAAGAAAACAGCTGCATTAAACTTATACTGTACACATTTTCTGTGCATATTCTCTTATTTATTTGATATCTTCTCTTCTGTGCTTTTATCATAAATCAATTAAATTCATCTGCAGCCTAAAAGAAAGCAGAACAGCTCCAGTTTGGCTTAGAGTTAAAGGGATAGTTCAGATGTTTTGAAGTGGGGTTCTTTAAAAAGAGTATAAACAATTAATAAATTATCTGCTTTAGTTAGCTATTACAACCAGTAATAGTAGGCAAAAAGGGATTTAGTTTGAACGAATCGGCAAACTCTTTCACATTATATAGGTTATACATTAAATGTAGACTTTTTTCTCAGCTGAAATTATTACATTAATTTTGTTACTCATCTACATCGACACTCCTCAAAGTGTTATCAAAAATGTTTTATTTTGGTTTATTTTATTTCTGTTCACCTTCTGACAAAGCCTGCAACACTCCCCAGCTTTGACTGAAGGGAGATCTTTCTTTACAAACAACACTTGTGAAAGTTTTCTAAGACTCTCCAACTGCTGCACTTTCTGCTAGTTTTATCAAAGAATGTGATCGGCCCCTCCTTGTTTACCATTGAGTGCAAGTTGTTATCTCTGTGAAGCTGTACATCAAATTACTACAGCAGCCACACGTAAAGCTCTTTTTTTTATCCACTCACACCTATTATCATAATTTACACGTGGGGGGTGTATAATTTAAGCAAATAGGCAGGAAAATGTTGAACCCCACTCCACAGGGAATTCTGCCATCGTTTCATTGACTTCCATCAGTAAACAGGATAAAACGACTTGATTTGCATGCAGTTCCAACTCTTTCTGCTCCACGTGAGCATTAAAAAATGTCAGCAATGCTGCAATACGGCTATGTAGGATTGCAAGATGTGTGCTTTATAACCCAATGCTGAGGTTAATGTATGCAATTTCATCTATGCCTAATTTGGGCAACAGAGCAATTATCATGTGACGGCTTCCTCCCAGTTGTTTCTTTTTTATCTTTTTTATCACTGCCTCTGTGGCCTTTTTTGATTTTCCCTGGAGGGCTGAACAAAGCTCTATGATTAAGTAAACAACTTGATCACTGCAGCTCAATAATTCCTCTTTTAAGTCTCAGCTGGTACCACAAACAAACATGCAAGAGATTAATTTAAGGTTAATAGAGTTGTTAATCCTTGGGTTTGATAAAACATGACAAAGAATTATTTTCTTTTTCCTCTGTAGGCTCGTGTTTCCAGCTGCTGCTGGCGTGCCTGTGGTGTCAGTGCTCCGTGCTGCTCCTGGGATTGTTGGAGGCCAGCTCCTGCTGCCTTCAGGGCCTCTGTTCCTCCTGCTGCTGCTGCTGCTCGGACGTCCAGGATGTGTCAGTGGAGGATCTCAGCTGCCGCAGCCAATGCCACTCGGTGCTGTCGGAGGCGTGCTGCGAGCCCACCGAGTGTCTCGAGTTTTGTTTGGATTGCTGCGAGATCTGTCATCGCAGCTAGAGCCAGATCTTTAGGCTCAGTTAAGACCTGCCACTAGCATCCTTGTGGGGGTCACTGGTAGGCTTACATTTTTGACTAAAAGTTGTAAACTGAACAGAACAATGTGCAAAAGTCTTGAGTTTCGCACATTTTATTTATATTTTGATTTCAAACAGCCAGATTGTATTGTTATTGTTCAAAATGGACTTGATCAAGCTCATCAAGCTTTCTGAAATCCTTTGATTTCATTAGTTCAGTACCTGACTCTTTTCACAAAGTTGTTCAACTTTTAATGCTATAAAACTCTAATTTATGAATCATTCAGACATAATAAGCACCTAAACTCAAAAAACCAGAGTGGTGTCGATGCATAACATTAAAGTTTTAAACAGGATCCTTATAGACTTTAGATTCAGCACTTTGTCACTAAGAAACAATTTGTTTCGGTTTTTTAATGGGGTTTTAAAACATACAATGGATAACACAGTTTGAGACATGAAGTAGTATTTTATCACCAACAGAATTCCCAAAGAGCTAATAGCTGAAAACTCATCCTCTGTTTCTCTTTCAGAAGACAGTACTGCAAATGGGTGAAGACTAGCCTGGTTCAAACCAGACCCTGTCCTTCACTTTGCTTCGTACGAGGGTCTGGACTTCATGCATAGAGAATCGATTTCTTGCAGGAGGCGTGGCCTCTGCTGAAACGTGTGTGTTGTCGCTGTGACGGAGGCTAAGCTAAGAAGCTAACCGGAAATCGCGTGTGCTGTAAACAGCCCTACTGAGAGGAGAAATATACTGAGCTGAACGAGACGACTGTAAATGAGAGCTGCTGCTTTGTCAGACTAATTTATTTTAATTTGAAGCCTTATCAACACAGACTGGCTTCATTCACTTCCTTCACTGCCGTATGATAAAATAACTAGCAGACACTGTGCAGAAAATCTACGTTGTTCAAAACTCCGCCTTCTGTTTGCTGATTGGCCCAGGTACCTTTGACACCCCCCCCCCCCCACTCATAATTTTCTGGAGCCGCCACTGGTGGGCAGGGCAGGGTTGAGAAGACAAACAATGGAAAACTACTGGGGTATGTTAGAAACACTTGAAGGTGATGAACACAAGGAAAATACATAAATAATTACCACAAGAAATAAACAAAAATAAATCTCAGAATGAAAAAAGTTAAACTGAAAAACACAGACCATGATACCATTACAATACACATACTTACAACATAAGTTTTTATCATTGTGGTGGTTTTTATTAACATGTAGGTATTTACAGTTTATTTTGTTATGCACAATAAGCTTTTTGCATGATAAAATGATATTTTATTTTATGTTTGCTTTGGTGGCAGCATTAAGCTCCAGTATGTTGCCTATTAAAGATGCAATTTTCAGATACTGCTGTGAATCATTTGTTTTAACCCTGCACTTGTTTATTTTATTTCTCTTCCTCTTCCTCAGTTTTTTAAGTACACTCTGAACAATATACTTTTTAATTGTCATATATTGGACTGAATTGGAGTTTAAAAATAACCAACTCCCTTAGGAAAGTTTTCAAAAACATCAAAAAGCCTGAAGACCACTTTAAAAAATAAGTCTGGCTCTTTGGTGCACAACTTATAAAAAAGTAAGATATTTGAAATTTATTTTGTGCATCATGCCTATTTGAAATAAATGATTTCTGTTGCTCAGTATTCCTCAAAAACTGAAAATCTGGCCTCATGTGAGCTTCATAGCTTCAATGAATTGCCATTTATTCTCACCAAAAAAAAAAAAGAAAAAAAAAAAGAAAAAGAGAGAAAGAAACCGGATGGGTTCCTTTGAATCACTAACATTATTTATGTGATCACACATTAAAGGATTTTCCACTGAAATGCCTCACTTGCATGTGTTTCAGTAAATTCTGACCCTGAGCAGGAGAGGTGGGGAACTTGACTCTGATCTGTTCAGTTTCTCATGTTCAGATTACAAATTTGACTTTTTCCTGCACAGCTCTTCTCAGCTCAAGAGTTTTGCAATGTGGGACTTGTCAGCTCCTTCTTTGATCCCTTTTCATATTTGTCAAATAAAGCGCTTAGAACATAAAAAAGATGCTTGTTGTCTCCAGATCTCAGAAGATCTGAGCAGGCTCTGGTAAAGCTGTAGTGTGAGATGACAGCAGAGAGGCAGAGTAAACAGCCAAAAATAAAACAAAGTGGTGAAAAAGACATCTCTGTCAATCTGTCCTGGTGAGCTAAGAGGCTCGTTTAAATGACGATAAAGGCAGTAAATGGAATTGATGTAGCTCTTTTGCCCACAACACATTTGAATTCTGCGAGGGACAACAAAAAGGAATAATATTTAATTTAGTGCGGGGCAAACCTGCTCCATAAAATTTGCACACATACAGTTTGTTCCACTTGTCCACATCAATTTGTTCTAACCTTTACCCACAGCTCGTCTCTCTCCACTTATTCAGTGTTATCTGTATCATCCATCCACTGTAGAGTCGCAGAGAGACACTAGAATCCCACAGATCCATCTTTTTGTCTGGTTTTGTGTCATTAAAATAAATAATTTCAAATACTCAAAAGTCATTAGTACTTTTATAAATATGAAATCATTTTAAAGTAATTTGTTTATACTAGATGAGGCATGGTGGCTGTTGGTAGAGCTGCTGTCTCTCAGCACGAAGGTTGCCAGATTGAATCCTGACTAGGGATCTTTCTGGGTAGAGTTTGCATGTTCTCTCTGAAAGTTTGGGTTCTCTCCAGCCACTGACCAAAAACATGACGGTTAGGTTAACTGGTAACTGTAAATTGTCTCTAGGTGTGAGTGAGAGCATGAATTATTGTCTGTCTCGTTTGTATCTGTGTGTGGTCCTGTGATGGACTTGAGACCTGTCCCCTGTACCCCCCACCTTGTACAGTGACTACTGGATATGGACACCAGTGATCTCTGTGACTTTGAAAGGAAGAAGCAGGTAAAAGATATGGATGGATGGTGATTGTGTCAGTAGATGGTGTCACTCTCCAGTGTCATTCCAGTGTGCTCTCACTATGCCTACCATGGGCCCGGCCTACAGAGAAAGCTCATTTCAGTTGGTTGGAAACTGGCGTGTATCGTAAGCCCACCCACACAGACCAATATTTGCGTTTTGACTCCCACCACCCACTGGAACACAAGTTAGGAGTGATCAGGACTCTGTACCACAGAGTCGGTTGGTTATTAAACCAGTGGTTATTCCGTATGTTGCGGGTGTTTCAGAGAAACTGAGATGTTTATTTTCTAAACATGATGTCCCAGTAGCTTTCAAACCCCAAAACACATTACGGCAAAGGCTGGTTCACCCCAAAGATCCGGTGCCCTGGCACAAACAGAGCAATATTGTATATGCTGTTAAGTGCCAGGAGGAATGCGACCAGTTATACATCGGGGAAACAAAGCAGCCACTGTTCAAAAGAATGTCCCAACACAGACGAGTTACATCTAATGGCCAGAACTCTGCAGTTTTCACTCATTTACAGGCCAGCGGTCACTCTTTCAGAGATGAGGATGTTCTCATTCTTGATAGAGAGGAACGTTGGTTTGAGAGAGGAGTAAAAGAAGCCATTTTTGTGAAGAAAGACCGTCCATCATTAAACAGAGGTGGGGGCCTCCATTTTCAGCTGTCCTCCTCCTACAGCGCTGCCATTGGCGGTATCTCTTCACCCCCTGTTAACAATAGGTGTTAATTAGGTGTGAACGATAGCCATGTGATGTATCAGTCACCTGGAGGCAGGACTCAAAAGCCTGAATTTTGCCTGAAACTCTCAGACTGAAGAAGTCTCTTGGAAGAGAGACGAAACGTTTCATTAAAGAAGAACCCGTCCAGAAGACCTATTCAATTTTTTTCCTTTTGATTTTTTACCTGGATTACTGAGATGCATCAGGACACTCATTTCATTTATTTGTGTCCGGGATCTCGTTCTTTTGGTCACAATCCACAGGGCTGGGATGTAGAGATGGACCAAGTAAATTGAGAGTTTTGTGTCTTGACTCAGCTCATTCCTTACCACAACATAATGGAGCCACTCCCTCATCACTGCAGACGTCCATTGGTCATTGGTCCATCACCTGTTCCATCCTTCTGTCATTCATGAACAAGGCCCTCAGATACACTGTAAATTATTACTAATCTTTTCTTGTTTTTGCAAAAGGGGCGACTGTTACTTAAAATGTGTATTGTAAACTACTCAAAACAAGTTTTTGCTTTACTAATGTCTCTGAGCTGAGACAACTCACATTTACGACTTCTACGCCTATGCTATGTGACTGCCCGATCCGTCCCGGTAGCATGATCCGTACTGTCAGCTCATTTGCGCATGCGCTTAATGATAAACGTCTGGAATGTGCTCGATTTAGTGGAAAAAAAGAAATACTAAAAATATTTATTTCTGTACTTAATTATAAAGGTGTGTAACATTATATTCTGAAAACAGTTTTAATATTGTATACATTTTGATTAATAAAATACGATTAGATTTAAACGATTAGACTAGACGAAAAGATTTACGATGCATTTATATTTATTTATAAGAATTTGCAAACTATTTTCTAGACAATTGTGTTATAACTCATCTTATCTTCATTTAATTTTTTTCCTGGAATAAAAATTCACAGCTGTTGCAAATGTTGCCTTTTCTACGAAACATTGCATATGATGAAAGACTGAAATCGAATGAATTCTGTCATCAGTTCAGCGAAATGCTACATGCTAAAAAAAACAATGCTTCCGGGACAGTACGGATCAGGCAGCCACAGTCTGCATGGTTGCTGACTGCATTGTTTCTGTTGCATTATAATGATTCCTGCCCATGATCTTTACTTGGTAGTTCAGCTGTTAGTTTGTTCAGTTTGTTTCTTTTTTTCTAACCACCTCATTTGATTGGTGCAGAGCCTGTGAGGGATCATGGATAATTTTCTTTTCTTTCCCATTCCGTCACAAAAGTTGTATATTATCTTGATATTTTGTAAAAGCAGCACACATGACAGCATAAACTGACTTATTCTTGTTCTGTCATTCTCCAAGGTGATGTGATGTAATTCACTAATGGTAAGCCTGAAAACTGTTAGTGAGTGCAGTTGTTGTGGAATAGCTGATGACTCTCGTACCACCCTGTTCATTGTTTTGTGTTAATGATTCAAGCCTTTCACATGGTGAAATACTCAATTTTACATGTTAAAATGTTACTAATGCATATAAAAAAGAATTGATTATGACTATAATTTACATTTAATATTAACATGAGAAATGAAATGTGACAATTTCTGATAAAGGTGAGTAATGTTGAGTCAGTTACTTGTAAACATTAGTTTTTCAATTTTTAAATTTTAGTAATGGATTATCTTGGACATAACACTTTATGGAAACAGAGCTTGAATTGTTTGGTTTTTGACTTTGTAAAAACTAAACGGCTTTAGTAATGATTACAAATTTGGGTTTACAGTGTACTTGAACTCTTATTAGCATTATCCCCAACCCAGAGGGAGTGTGCCACCTTCTTCTAGGACCAAGTCCTCTGACATAAGCTGACTCTCACCCCAGCTGTTTGATAAAAATCCATCTGACACCTGCTTCCTTGAGACATTTTGCAGGGGTTCAGGTAAAATGGAGATCAAGTCCCCAACATCTTTATTTCTTATTAAAAAGACAATTTGTCTTGATGATGATGTCTCGATTTGGTAGTCGATTCCATCTCAAAAGCCGATGAACGATCAAGTCTGAAAACTAAAGACAAAAAAGGTTGGATTTGCCAAAAATCCCAGAACTTTTAGTTTCCTATATTTTGAAGTAACTATTTATTTTCTGCAATTGTTGGATAGATAGATTGATACAACAGGACTGAGCATCACAGATAGATGATGACCTAGTGAAACGTGTTTTCAACTTGAAATGTTTAAGGAAAAAAATAAATAAAAATCTTTCAACACTTCTTATATTCTGCATATTTGTCTTCTCGGCTGCCTCCAAAGCTGTGTGACAATAGTTGTAGCCTCTTCCATCAAAACAAGGATTATGTGTGCTGTATGAAGTGCTGTCTGTTTAAAAAAAGGGGGAATAATAACACCTAATAGTCATTCTGTCAGATGTGGCCGTCTGCTTGAAAGGAAACAAAAATAAATATAAGTAGATTTGAATATCTAACATTTGAGGCTGACGCAGAGAGGACAGATCAAAGATAAGAGAGGCACAGCTGAGGGGGGCAATCATAAACATACTGTCTCATTTTAATAAGTGAAGGAAAGTGTTTTCAAACTGGAGCAGAGCATCAAGTTTCATGTGTTTGGAAGGGTGGGAGGTGTGTGTGTGTGTGTGTGTGTGTGTGTGTGTGTGTGTGTGTAGTAAAGAACATCAGAATGCAGTTAATGAGGCGTGGGGTACGTTGTGATCAAACGAGTGATCACAACGTTTGTATTTAAACTGGTTTTACACAGAATGACTGCAGGTGTATTTCAGCCCTAAATGTAAACCTTAACTAGCTGAGTTTTACAAAAACTACCAAAAAACAACCAGCTTTGTGTCCATCACGAGACATACAAACTGGTGTTGAAACCTTTAATTAAATCAAAAATGTATTTTTGATTGTGTTTAAACTTTAATCAATATACTTTTTAATTAATATTGATGGAAAAAACCTCAATAATAACAATTATAATGCATTTTATTTATAGGCATCAATGTTACAAAATGAAATCTGTAATGTAGCACAACTGTTCAAATTTATTATGTAGATGCCAAAATAAAGATATCTTTATATTTGCTAATTTTTTTTATTTTTTTCGGTTTTATGCTACTGTTTGTTATAATTTATTTATTCGTTTTGTCTAAAGCCATGGTTCTCAATTCGTAGTACCAAGTCCCACTGGTGGTCCACATTGGGACTCATGCAAGAACCGTTCGTTCACAGATTTGTTCTTAAGTTGTGCGTACGAGTGATTTAGGAGAATTTGTGGCATTCACCAATTTTCTCGTAAGATTTTTTTTCAGATACAAACAAAATTCACGTGTGGTTCAGACCTGTCGTATATTTTATGTGCAGCCAGTCCGCTGTTATCAAGACTGATTTTCTTCACTAATAACTATATTTCATTAGGTTGAAAGTATTTTGAGTTGAAAATAAATAACATTACACATTATAAATAACATTAAAATATTATTTTTGATACTTTAAGGCCATAACAGAGAAGAAAGTTCAATTAAATTTAGAAAACAGATCTTAAACGGTTCTGTTTGTTTATCACTGAAGAAATTTATCAAAACGGGAACCTTCCAGATTAAAACTACATCTCAAAGTTAATGTACATCTACTTTTATTTTTGTTGCAAACCTGCTCTGTTAAGGCCCCGTCACACTACACAACGCATGCCAACTTTTGAAACATTTTTTATGTCTAAATTGCTAATATTAATATATTTGATCAATTTGTTAGAATTACATTATGTACAAGCAGAAAAGAAGCTTCCCGTTGATTCTTTCAATTGCATCTTCAATGTAGATGTCTTTAAAATGTTCATAAGTTGGCATAAGTTGCCTGGTAAGATGATTCCCAACCAGGGGTACATGTACCCCTTGGTGAGCATATTAGCAGGGGGGTGCGTGGAAAAATTTCCCAGGTGTGTAAAAATATAAATAAAAATAGGTCTGAGATTTGTAGGACTCCATGATTTCCACAATGCAGAAATTGTAGATGGATTCACAGAATTAAAATAGAACGGAATCCGGTGTAAAAATGGAATCTCATGAAATTTGCTCATGTGGGTGAGTTTCTGACCTGACACAGCGTCCAAAATACGTCCAAAATGCTTCCTGCACCTGCCATTACCTGGTTTATTTATTTAAATCACTTTTCACTGTCAAGGCAACATTTATATCTTTGTTTAATCTGAGTTGACAAAAATATATCTGAGAATTAAACTTTATAGCGGGTTTAAATAAAAAAAATCATTTATTAAACAGTTGTACATTAGTTTTTGAGAATCATCATTACGTTTGACTGAAGGCGTACTGGTGGTATGACAGATTGTCTGAGGGGGTACACAAGTCTAAAAAGGTTGGGAACCCTTTACTGACACACAGAACAGATGTGTATTTAAATAAATCTAAAAATGGTTCAAGTTTGTTTTCATAAACTTGTGGTGAAAATAATTACAAACATCACAGCTTTTATGAACTTATTTTTTAATTATATTTTAAATAACAATCAGAATATAAACTTTTGTCACTGCTGTTGGAGTGACAAATCTCATTTCATCAATAATACATATTTTTTTTACAACTTTTCAAATAATAATAAAAAATAATAATAAAAGAAAAGAAACGAAAAAACAAATTAAACATTTAAAAAAGCTACTAACTAAAAGCTGAAATGATGCTTGTACAAATTTGCTCACTTGCTTTTATAGCCGGAAAGTTTTCCAGCTCGTCTCCTTGAAATACACACACACACACACACAC